GTAGCTGGTGTCTCTCTGGCCCAGCGGCTTGACGCTGCCTGTCAGAAGGGGCGGAGGCAGCTAACAGGTGTGTGAAGTCTGGGGTCCATCTTGATCAGTAGGGTTGTCTCTGGATTTGTAATCACGGTTATGCCATAAATCAGAAGAGCACAAAGAGCCCCAGCTGCACATCCTTTCTGCCAGAAAACCCTAAGAATATGAAGTCAGTTAACAAAATGTGGTTTTCAACAGGTATGGCTTAGATCTATGAAATCCCTGAAAGAAGGAAATGGAAGTGAAAGGTTAGCATCATTTTACTGTCTTCATATTTTAACCTCGGGTCCTTTCTCACTTTTTGTAATTAAAAACAAGTAAAGGAAGAATAGTAGAATAGCTTAAAGGAACTGATTCAACTGGAAATATTTCTATTGTAATGCAAATCTGTTAAATAATAATGGCAGTAATACCTTTTACATTTTTATAGCTCTGGACAGCGTTTGCAAGATCCTTAGGTGGCACAAAGGATTAAATGCTCACTTATTAACCTAAAGGTTAGCACCATGGGAAAAAGTCCTGGCAATCTGCTTCCATAAGTTACAGCTAAGGAAACCCTACGGAACACAGTTCTATTCTACAAACTTGGGACCACCATGAGTCAGACTGACTCAACAGCAACGGTTTGGTTTGGTTTTGTACAGGGTTTGCAGTCTACTTTTACCCAAATCAAATCATGTTATTTCCACACACACCTATGTAGTATTAATGACAATTCTTACTATTTTTGTTTTTATAGATTAAGAAATTAAGTATATGAGAGTTCATGGTCATGATTCTTACAATTCCTTGGCCCAGATAATGCACCTCATTTGATAAGAAGTTCTTTTTCCTCCAATTTTGCAATTAGGCCTTTTAATAGAGAAGCATATTTAGGTAAATAGTTCAAGTATTGAATATAATCCAAACCTATTCCTCTTTATTGTTACCTTCCTATCTACTTTGATGTCAAGATTATACCTGATTTAAAAAAAAATGATCTGTAGTCAACCGTGATTCATCATTTCTGGCTCACCACTCCCTATATAAGCATTATCTTTTAATTTCATAATATATATTACAAACATGAGTACACCCACACACCACAGACGCACTTACGCACACACTCTCTCTCCCTTTAAACACATGCACAAAATAAAGATTTGTTTAAACATAGAAAAAACTAACCAAAATCTCACTACATGGGGATAACTCTGTTTTGTTGTATAATCTACCAGATTTAAAAAAATTTAAAGGAAAATGACTTCAGAATAAATATACTTTATATGCAAATGAGTATTGTGAATATTATTGTATTCCTTTTTCTTTATGTACATTGATTTACATAATCTATCCCATGATAATGCCCATTTGATTTATAAACAATTCTTAAAGAAAAGGAAGATTTAAGTGGAATTTCAAGCTGTATCTAAAAAGCTTCCCTGGTGTCACTAGTGTCCTTAACATACTATTATGTAAGCAACTGTCGACCTATAAACTTCTTACTTCATAAAATAGTTGTCTGGCACTGAAGCGTGGCTATTATGAAAAAAGTTCAAAGCATGATACTGGCCCCAAAGAGAACCAGAGTCTCTCAGTCTCCATGGTGCTGGAAACAAGACTAGCAGAGAGAGACTGTAAGTTTAGAAGAACATTGCTCTTCTAATCAAGGCAGCACATTTTTAGTAACATAAAAGATAATTATTTACTGAAATAGTCTATGAAAGGTGTGTGATTGATTAATTTTATAAACATAAGGTGAAAACTTGCTGTGTACAAGAAATTGCTGGAGGTTTAAAAAATAATAGATGTTCTGTTGCTTACTGTCTCATAGTGAATGGACTTTATGAAATACCTTCTGAGGTACAATATGCATGTAGAAAATTTTCAAATAATAAATTGTACAGCAAATGAAATTGCAGAAATGAAAAATTCCTTGCTGCTGAACACAGACTGAAAATAGAACATTATCAGCTTTTTGGAGACTGTCCATGGGCCCCACAACAAATTGTTATCCAATATAACAGATTAGTTTTATAAGTTTTTGAATTATTTAGAAGTGCAATCATACAGTTTTTACACTTTTATTTCTGGTTTCTTCCACTCAGCAATGTTTGTGAGATTTCTCCATGTTGTTATGGTTGGCAGTAGATCATTCTTTCTCATTGCTGAGTAGGATTCTAATGTACGAACATACTATACATTATTTATCTAATCCAAAACAGGTGTGGGAAAACTATGACCTCTAAGGTTTAATAGGAACATGATCCCCTCACTCATTTATGTATTATTGCCTATGGCTGTTTTGTCAAACAAGGACAGATATGAGGAGCTGTGACAGAAACTTTGTGGTCTCCAAAGCCTAAAATATTCCATCTGACTCTAAGAAAATGTTAACCACTTCCTTTTTAATGTTTTGATAGAAATTTGAGTTGTTAGTTTTATGCTATTGCAAATAATGTGGCTGTTAATATTTTTGTACATGTCTTATGGTGGATATTCACTTATTTCTGTTGGGTGTAAAGAGAGGAATATGAGTTTTGAGTCATGAAGCATGTATATGTCCAGCTATATTAGGAACTGCCATACAGTTTTCCAATGTGGGATGCCAGTTCCCACTGCCACTATCAATGTGTGAGAGCTATGGTTGTTCCACATCCTCACCAATACTGGATATTGTCCATCATTTTTGTTTTTGCCCTTCTATGCTTGAGTTATGGTACTGCATTGAAGTTTACTTTTTATTTATCTGAGTGCAAATAAAGTTGAATAACCACTTTTTTTTTTTATAAAGCGCATATTAAAATGTGAATGCCTATTAGGAGGTCTGCCAAAGGGGCAATTTTTAAAAGCGTTTGATCTTATATAACTAACATTATTAGCTAATTTCATTGTCATAGCCATTTCAGATCAACCATCCTAGAGGTGCAATGTAGTCCTTTTGTAAGAAGATTAAGTCGTTATTCATTTATTTATTTTTTTAATCTCTTCAATAGTGAGGATGAGTTTACACAGCAGTAGAATCTTATACAGGTCCCTAATTGGCACCAACGGTTTGCACTCAACTGTTAGCCTGAAGATTAGAGGCTTGAACCCACCCCACAGCACCTAAGAAGAAAGACCTGGTGATTTGCTTCTGTAAAGATTACAGTCAAGAAAACTGTATAGAGCAGTTTTGCTCTGTAACACGTGTTTGACATTGACTGGGCAATTTTTCTTTTTTCTTTTTTAGTTTAGAATCATAGATACAAAGAGACAGAATTTTCTAGCTGGAAAGGACCGCAGAAAAAAATCTATTCTGACCCCATCTTTTACGTGGGGAGAAATGGGATGTGGTGAGGAAGAGTGACTTATTAAATGACACAATGATTTAGAGTGGCATTGCATCCCTGGCTCCTAGCATGTTTCTGGGGAGGATTTACTAGGAAGGTTAAAAATTACTTCCTCTGTCTTTAAAAGAGCACCTCCTACTTATTGAGTCATTGAGCATTATTACTGCTCTGTTCTTATGTCTTTAGACAGCCCCTTATCGATAGTATGTATCAGTTTGTTTGCTGTGTTACACATATACCATCACTATGCCACTTTTATGTTTAGGGATTTCAGTACAAAGGCTGAAGAAAGGAGTCAAGATATAAGAATTCAACTATAGTATTAATCCTTACATGCAGGCATTGGTAATATCATATTTGGACAATAATATTTGCCATCAGTCAGTAGTGGATGTATGAGAAGTCTGTGATATAAAGAGAGAGAGAGAATGGAAGGTAACAGTGAGGACTGTAGATAAACTATGGTAGATTAAAGCCTTTGATATTATGTTTTATCTGTTTCTGTAGAATCCAAGAAGAAATGTGGAAGGATTAGTTTAGTCTATCTGACCAAGTTCCTATTTGAAACATAAGATCCCTAAAAAAGATTCCCAGAAAGGAGCTATCCAACCTGTCCTTGCATAAATTCAGGGAGATGATGCCTGCAATTAGTCAAATTGTTTAATCTGTATCAGACTTCCATTTATTGAGCTTGAGATGAATTGTTTATCTGGCTTAAAGTTTCCTTCTCTTCAATTCACACTCACTAGACGTGATTAAAAAGGTCCATATGTAAACCAGGTCAGTCTTCTGACGGTATAATATATAACTGTGATATGGAAGGAAGATGAGTTAATTAGATGCCATGAATATGTTTTCTGAATTAGAGAAAATCCACTGAAACTTGTACCCCCCAAACATTGTTTGGACATTAATATATGTAAAGCACACTTTTATGCCATTCTACTTTTCATAAGTACCAATTCCAAAAGAGTGCAGATTAATTGAGAAAATATTGTGGAAGAGGAAACCCTAGGAACTTTTTCAAAACAATCCCTCCCCATATACCTTTTCTACCATCTTACCTTTCCCAAATTTGTCTCAGTGTCCTACAAAGAAACGCCACTTGGAATAGCAGAGGAGCTCTTGGGATTTACTGGAATTCTGAAATGTTTTCATAACAGGGCATTTTGCAATGGCAGCTATATTGCCTACGGCATTCACCCGGGGTACCTGAACTAAGAAGCTCCTATACCAGGGGAATATTGATAACAAAGACCTTCCCCCAGAGCAACAGAGAGAGAAAACCTTCCCCTGGAGCTGGCACCCTAAATTCTGACTTCTACCTTCATACTGTGAGAGAATAAATTTCTCTTTGTTAAAGCCATCCACTTGTGGTATTTCTGTTATAGCAGTACAAGTTAACTAAGACAGAAACACTGCACAAATAAAATTTTGGCATCCTAAGAAGGAGACCAGCATGTTTTGTAAAATTAGAGAGTACCATGTTTAAACTGAAAAAACATAAAAAAGTATAGTATATATAGGAAACTACTTAATAATCAGTATAGTTGAGGATTTGTATAAATACTCATTGTATTAAAGTATCTGAGACTGTATTGTATTGTACTATATGATTTGAAGAAAACAACAACTGCTTATGTTGTGTATAACTATTTAAAACAGCATTTTATTTTTCAGTTTTTCCAGAGCCTCTTTCACATCCTTGTTCCATAGACTATCAATCAGAGGGTTTAACGTGGGGATGATAAGGGTATAAAACAATGAGCTCATTTTGTCTTGATCTAGAGAGTAGGAAGAACTTGGTCGGAAATACATAAAAAGCATAGTTCCCTGGAAAATTGCAACAGCAGTTAAGTGAGAGGTGCAGGTGGAGAAAGCTTTGAACCTTCCCTCAGCAGAGTGGATCTTTAAGACTGAAAGGATGATGTAACAGTAAGAGACAAGAAGCCCTGAAATGGTACTCAGTTCAATGAAGCCAAAAACAGTGAACAATGCCAGCTCATTGACCTGAATATCGGAACAGGAAAGGAGGAAAAGTGGAGGTAAATCACAGAAGTAATGATTAATCTCATTTGACCCACAGAAACATAAGCGGAAAGTTAACGTCGTATGTATCAAAGCATCCACCATGCCCACCAGGTAAACCCCAGCCATAAGCATGGAGCACAGCCTGCTGGACATGCTGACAGTATAGAGCAAGTGGTTGCTAATGGCCTTGTACTGATCAAAGGCCATCACTGCCAGCAGGAGACGCTCAGAATCTGCAAAGATACAGAAGATGAAGAACATGGTGTACATGGTAGCTTTGATCTCAGGTTTGTTAATAATTCCTAAGAGGTGGAATTCAGTCAAGGAGGAGCAATTTTCTCCATCCATTCTTCTTTGTTCTTGTTTTAAATGGCTACAAAAATGATCAAGAGAATGACAGATCAGAGTTTAACTCTGTTGAATATTTACAAAATATTACCTGTAAGGCAGAACACTTTCTTTCTATAAATTATCTTCTTTATCCACAGAAAGAAGCCAAGATAAATGTCACTGTTAAAGAAAAGAACTAAAACATCTGGAACAGGAAGTTCAGAAACTTTGATTCTAAATCTATATGTCTTTCTTGACATATGTCATTTGTATTATCATCTACTGTCTTATCTTAGTGGTTGATATGAATAAACCTAAAGCTCATTCCAGATTCAAAACGATATAAAAAAACACAATAGTTAGACATAGCCACAGGATACAAGCCTAAATTTCTGACATGTAAAATTAAATACCCCATTGGACAAAAAAGCAATCACATTTATTGTATTCATCCTGAAACATAATTGACTTTAAAGATTCAGCAACAATGAATGATATTGCATATAAATTAACAAATGAAAATTATCATGTTACTGTTTTGGTCTATGATGTTAAGTTTTAACTGAATGACTAAACATGAAAGAATCATGTTTTATTCAGTTCTATCACACTTCATCTCTTCTTCTTCTAGCATCTGTAACCCTGTTATATTACTGATCTGATCCCAAAGGATAAATCTGTAGACAAATTAAAGAGAAGTGATAAAAGTGGGAAAAACAGAATTTAATGCATACATTTGCATTTCTTCAGATTTTAAATTAAATATTTCATGAAAATGGGAAAAGGACTAATAAACAATAAATGTTTCAGAAATATAAAGTGTTCATTTTCTATTTGTGTGTGAATATTCTGTAGATAATATAAAAATTGAAATGCAAATTATGGTCTTTTTTTCTGTACTTAGGTATTGTAGTATGTGGTTCGTATGAACTTGAATTTATACATATTGGTATTTTTAACGTGATACCTCAATTATGGTTAGAATAACACTAGAACAAATCTAAAATTCACATTTATAGTGATATCACTTGAACAGTAATAAAAAATAATGATTTACTCATGAATTTTAGTTAAAATATAAATGAATATAGTATCTACTCAAACAAACAAGGTCGGTCAAATTCACATAGCTTCAACCATAAAATATTATGGTTTCCTGTAAGTTTACAGTTATTTAACTGAGTAAGTAGGTATAAAATGATTCATTTACAAATTCCTCAATATGTAATTCTCATTTTTCCAAAAAAAATTTTTTCTGTAGTTTTTTTAATTTGGCAATTCAGAATCCTACCTGAGATGCGCATGTCTTTCTGTTCTGATTTTGGGTAGGTGAACACTAGGCAGGTCACATTTTATCTTTACTTAGTGACATGTGGGACTTAAATCTCTGAAGCCTCTGTCCTCATTTTTTTTTTTTTTTTGTTACACATGTGCTTAATTAGGTTTCTGGTTCTATATTTTTCCCTTGTGAATGCTGCAACAACTTTATCAAAGCCAGAAGTTTTCATTCAAAATGTTCAATGTCCAGTAACAAAAATAGAATTTAATGATATGCCATATGGCTATGTTGAATCTCTACCCTCCTCCAGTCAAATCACACATCAAATAAAGCTCAGATAGGCCCTCTACTAAATGATTCCCGTCTCCTTTCCATTGTTCATCCTATTTCTTGCATTTCTGAAACAACCTTCTTCATTTCCCTATTTGGAAATAGGACAATCTTTTAATGGTTTTCCTTTATTTTCATGAATCACTGTCTGATTCCCTTCCCCCAACCACATGTCAACTACCTCAATCCAATAATTTTATGACTGCCTAACATCCACTACACACAACTCACTATCTTGAATTATTATTTTTTTCTGTTCATATTTGTTTCTCCTGACATTCTCACAGTCTCTAGAACAAGGATTTTCAAAAGTAATGGATCATTGAATATTTGCTCTTAAATATTCTCTGGTTGATTAGTGGAAAAATAACAAAGAATAGAAATAAATTTCAAGGGCTGTTCCTACTCATATAGTTGATAGGTGCAAGGATGACTCTTTTTAAGAAAAAGTATATCTTAAGATGATGTTTTCTAAGAAAATATATATATTAAGATGATATGTATTAAGAAAAAAATAAACTTAGTCTTATCCTGTCTGGAGCAAGGAAACATGAAGAAAACCAGAGACACAAGGAAAAAATTAATCCAAAGTACTAATGGATCACAACTACCACAGCCTCCACCAGATTGAGTCCCCCACAAATAGACGGTGCCCAGCTACCAGCACCGACTACTCTGACAGGGATCAAAATAGAGGGTCCTGGACAGAGTTGGAGAAAAGAGTAGCCCAAAATTCTAGCTCACAAAAAAAGACCAGACTTAAAGGTCTGATAGACTGGAGAAACCCTGAGAGTATGGCCCCCGGACACCTTTTTAACTCACTACTGAAATCACTCCTGAGGTTCATCCTTCAGCCAAAGATTAGACAGGCCCATTAGACAATAATACATGTAGCTTAACGATGTATAAGAGACTAAATGGGCACCCCAGTCCAGGGGTAAATATGAGAAGGCATGAGGGGACAGGAAAACTGGATAGATGGAAATGGGGAACCCAAAGTTGAAAAGGGGAGATGTCGTCACATTACGGAGTTGGCAACCAATGTTATAAAACAATATATGTATTAATTGTTTAATGAGAAACTAATTTGCTCTGTAAACTTCCATCTAAAGCGCAATAAAAAAAGTTAAAAAAAGGAAAATTAGTTCTATTTTCTCTCACTTTCTATGTATATACATAGTAGTGAAATCATACATAACAAAACATACAAAAAGCCAACAATTTCACCATGTACAATTCAGTGAAATAAATTACATTTTTCCAGTTGTACAAATACTGTCACTATCTTTTTCTAAATCATTTTACCACCATTAACATAAACTTAGTTCACCCTGTTATGGATTGAATCATGTTGCCAAAAAATATTTGTCAACTTTACTAAGCCATTGTCATGGATTGAATTGTGTCCCCAAAAGTATCTGTCAGCTTGGCTGGGTCATGATTCCCAGTATTGTATAATTGTGTACCATTTTGTGATCTGATGTGATTTTCTTATGTGTTGTAAATTCAATCACTATGATCTAGTAAGATGGATTAGTGGCAGTTATACTGATGAGGTTTACAAGATTGAATCATGTCTTAAGCCAATCTCTTTTGAGATATAAAAGAGAGAATTGAGCAGAGACACATGGAAACCTCATATCACCAAGAAAAGCAGTGCAAAGAGCAGAGCACGTCTTTTGGACCTCAGGTTCCTGCGCAGAGAAACTCCCAGACCAAGAGAAGACTGATGCATTACAAGGACCTTCCTTCAGAGCCGACAGAGAGAAAAAGCCTTCCCCTGGAGCTGATGCCTTGAATTCGGATTTGTAGCCTACTAGACTTGAGAGAATAAATTTCTCTTTGTTAAAGCCATCCACTTGTGGTATTTCTGTTATAGCAGCACTAGATGACTAAGACAGCCATGATTCACAGTATTGTGTGGTTGTCCACCATTTGGTGATCCGATGTGATTATCCTATGTGTTGTAAATTTTAACCTCTATGATGTCAGTAAGGCATGATTAGAGGTAGTTATGTTAACAAATAAGGACTCAATAAACAGGGTTAGGTTGTATCTTGAATCAATCTCTTTTTAGACATAAAAGAGAATCAAGCAGAGAGGAAAGTCATCTAATATCATCTAGAGAGAAGTACCAGGAGCAGAACATGTCCATTGGACCTGGAATCCTTGCACTGAGAAGCTCCTAGACCAGGGGAAGATCGATGACAAGGACCTTCCCCTAGAGCCAACCAAGAGAGAAAGACTACTCCTGGAGCTGGACCTTGAATTCAGACTTCTAGCCTCCTAGACTGTGAGATAATACATTTCTGTTTGTTAAAGTCATCCACTTGTGGTATTTCTGTTATAGTAGCTCTAGATAACTAAGATAAACCCTGAGCAAAAATTCTCTTTCCCCTTCCCTCTCACTCCTCTCATAGGACTCAAAAGGAGAAGAAACAGCCACAAACATCCATTAATAATCAGAATGTGGAATGTACAAAATATGAATCTAGGAAAATTGGAAATCATCAAGAATGAACTAGAATACATAAAGATTGGTATCTTAGGCATTAGTGAGTAGAAATGGACTGGTATTGGCCATTTTGAATCAGACACTCATATGGTCTACTATGCCTAGAATGACAAATTGAAGAGGAATGGCATTACATTCAACCCAAAAAGAACACTTCAGGATCTATCCTGAAGTACAACACCGTCCCAAATCCATGGGTCAGGCTTAGGCTTCTCTTGATCCACATGGCTGCAGGGGCTGAGAAGCTCAAACCGGTAGGTCAGACCATGGGAGGCTGGCTCAGAAGGCCGCGGAAGCTGGCAAATCAGGTCAGACAACAGGCCACAGCCCCTCGGGGCTGCTGAGGCTGGCGAATCCCAGAATCAGCAGGTCAGACAGCAAGCCTCTGGCTCCAGTCACAAAAACCAGAAGTTAGAGGATCACAAACTGGGTACAGGATCCAGATGTAGAGAGAGAAAGCCCCCCGCGAGGGCACCCATATATACCTTGGAAGCAGGCAACACCCCAGAAGGGCGTAACTTGGGAATTGAGTCATGCTCTCTTGCAAGGCTATAACTCAAGACGCACCCCACAACAATCCTGCTTCATTAACATGCAGAGGTTAGGATTTACAACACATAAAATGGAGGACAACTATACAATACTGGAAATCATGGCCTAGCTAAGTTAACACATAACCCCAACCATCTCAGGTTCCATACACCTCTTTTGTGTTGATACGATATACCATGGATGTGCATAATTATTATGCATAACCTAAAAAATCAATTGACAGTAGATGTTTAATAAAGATAGAAATCTGTGCTTTTCAGTGTCCTGCAACAATTCACAATTATCAAATTTTATTTAGAACATAGCCAATATAGAAAGTTCTCCATAGGACTACCATCTTGCACAATGTCAAGTGACACTATTTTTCTTATTTTCTATGACCTCCCAGGAATTGTGCAATATAGTCACTCATTTTACATAGAAGTTAATAGTGTTCAAGTTTTAAGCTAAGATAAATTAAACAAATTATGTTTCAAATGTTTT